ACCTGTCCATTCGTCTGTGAGCAACACTAGAGCCTAAACAATTCATAGTATTTTCTAAAATACGGATTTCCTCAATAGATCTTGCCGCGCTCAAGGCCTTGCGAATTTGAAACATTCTTTAAATAGTAGGTACATTACATACAACCCAAAGAACACTTTCAACATGTCTAAGAAATTGGCTCCACTTGTTTCTTCAAATTCTTGGCTTGTATACACTGATTAAACAGCGGAGGTGAAAATTGCAAAAGTTTTTTTTCCATCTCAGCCTCCTCCTAAATTATTAAAAATATTCAGTTTTTTTATGAAAGCTGTACTTTTAAATTATATATTTAATTATTGGTATGAACATTTTTCAAAACACGTGTAGTTTTGCCACAATTTTATATGGAATCAGGATAATCAAAAAATATATAAACAAAATTGGCTCTGAAATGGCTCCAATGTTATTCAAGATGTGTCACTGCTTGAATTACTCAAAATATGTTCGAATATTACTTAAAAATTTTTAAGTATAACACGACTACTTTAGAACTCTCAAGTGCTATGATGAAGCCCTGTAAACTGAGACGCTCCCAGCGAGAAAGACATGTCTACCCCAGCGGTTGAAGTGACGGACCTTCTGCCTAAAAGGAGTCTCCTCAGTTGGATTTTTTTTCTTTTTTTGTGAATAGGGAAAAATAAACCTGGAAAGGCAGGTCCTCTGAGGCTCCTTATTTAGACTTCTCCATTTTGTATTAGCAGGTTGCTCAATTAGCGCGGTGATATATTTCTTCTACTATTAAAAAAGACAAGGAAACGTCACTGTTGCATGACATCGAGATCTAGTTAAAACTTCGTTAATTTGAAAGACAAAAAATAACTTATTGAATTACAAAATATGGTAAACTATCAGATATAATTTTCCATAAATCAATATCACAACTATTAAGTATGTTTTCAGGACACTTTTCTGCAAGCAGATAGTAAATTTAAGCAAATACAGAATATCTTCAGAACCTTTGCTTATGAAAGTGAAATTATTATTAGATTGCAATACAGTTATCCTTTCTATAACTTAAGAGTGTTGCGGTATCAGGGTCAAACTAACCATGTACTTACCACGCGTCTCCCCAGTTCACTGGTGGGTAATAGTGACTGGCGACAAAGTGGTGAAGAACCGAAATGGAGGTAACTGCCTTTGAAAATCAATTACTACAATGTGTCATGGATAAAAAGTAATATTCAAATAAAAATATCATGGTGTTTGCAGGATCAAAAATTCCGTACGTTCTTCTCTCATATTCAGACAATAGCTTATACAACTCACATAAAAAATTCAAAATGATAACAGGTAATACATTTCAAACCTTACCTTACAATAGAATGTGTTTTTCTAATCTACAAATTAATAAATCAGCATTCTGTAACTTCTATCTGCCGAGCCTAGTTCACTGTTGCTCCTACACATTTGAAAAATACTACAAATTATTGAAAATAAATTTCTTCGCAGAATTATAAGATTTCGTTAGTTTATTCTACATATACAAGTCCACAAAGAATTATGAATCGATCCCCTTGATCATTATTGTAACGCACTAACCAAAAACGTTTCCAAATTTTACTTGATTGCATACTATCACATTTGGCCTAGATGAAACCCATTTTCCTGATGTGTTCAAGATTTCCAGAGAATATGATCCGACCTCCATGAACTTTCAGTGTACACTAAAATAAAATGTTTAAATAAGATTATACGTATCATAAAACTGTGAAGGAATAAAACTAACAATCAATATTGAATGACTAATCTTATTAACACATTGTTTTAGGTTAGAGATGCGGAGATCGGTTCCTTTAACTACAAATTTGTATTTCACCCTCGGTACAAATTTATATTGGACAAGTAGAGCTTATTTGAAAAGAGGAGGTAACTACTATGAAAAATAATCAGCTTGTTAAGAGTTGACTTGTTATGTGATCGATTATTTAGAGCGGTAGGGGAGGAGAATCCTTTCTTATATTTTTCAGTTGTATAGATACGTTTTGCGGTTCTCATACGTAACTAGTCCTTATAAAATAGGTATCTAAAGAAAGATAATTTCGCGTTTACTGATGTATTGCATTTTAACTTAAAAATGAAGAACTTGTTAAAAAACGCATCTAAATATTCATGTTAAATACAAAACGCAACACTCGGGAACCATTGTTAAAATATATATATATATATATAT